CTCGAGGGCTGTGTGTAAAGCAGTCACCAGTGAAGGCTAATGCAGAAAAGTTGTTGAGTACCTCTTGTTACCAGCCTGGCTTTATTGCTCACTGGGGGTAGGTACATCCTCTTGGACTTTCCTTTTTGATCGATGTACCTTTAGAAGCCTTTGTTGTTTGTCTTTGCAACCCTTGCCAAGTTCTGCTCCAGTTGGACCTTGCCCTTTGTGGCCCTGTACCTGCTAACATCATCCCTGTACTCCTTCCAGGGTTCCTGTCCCTGCTTCCACTGTCTGTGAATTTTCTTCTTGCTCTCTGGTTTGAACAACAGGTCTTGGTTTGGGCGTGCCTATCTTTTGCCTTCCTTTCATGACTTCATACACCTGGGGATGGAGAGTTCTTGTGCCCTAAGGAAAGCTTTCTTAAAGATCTGCTTGCTTTGTTCTACTTCCTTGCCCTTGTGGACAGTTTCCCAACGGGTTTTGTCAACTCAATCCCTGAGGAAGTCCAAATTGGCTTTCCTAAAATTTGATGTCCTAACTTTCCTTTTATCTTTTCTGTATCCCTCAGGAGCACGAAATCCAACATTGCATATTCACTACAGCCTAGGCAGCTTCCAATCCTGCTATCACCAATCAGTTCACTCACATCGGTGAGCAACAGGGCCAGCATTGCATCCCTCCTGCTGGAGGTGTTTATTACCTCGCCCAGGAAATCACCCTCAATGCATTCCAGGAGCTTCCTGGACTGCCTGCAGCTTGCTGTGCTACTTTTCCAGGAGATGTCAGAGTGATTGAAGAACCCCCAGGATGAGAGCCTGTGATTACCGTGCCTCCTGTAGCTGGAGTAAGAAGGCTTCATCAACAGGCCTTGCTTGATCAGGTGGCCTGTAGCAGGTAGCCATTGATAGCCAAGGTCAAGTCGTGGGAATCATCTCACCAGGTTTCAGAGTTTGCAACTATGTCACGCTTTTCTGGTAGCATGGTGGCTTCCAATTCTTCCTGCTTATTTCCCACGCTGTGTGTGTTGGTAGATAGGCACTTCAGCTGGAAACCAGCCTTATTACCTTCTTGGAGGATAACTACTTCATTCCCTCAGACTATTTCCCTTGAATTTCCCTGTTACTTTCTCCTGTTGTCTCAGTGTTTCCTGGCTCATTGTCCTAAGATTTCAAGTGTGCTGCAGTGTTGCCAGAATGTTTCAGGACAGCAGATTGAGAACCCCCCCCCAGTAGTACCCTGTCCTTCTAACATATCTAGGCTGTCTCACACCTTGCCATGGGCAGACTTGCTATTATCACTCCCTTCAAACTTAGTTTAAAACCCTCCCAGTGAACCTTGCTAGCTTTTCCCCAGGGACTCTCTATCCCCTTTTAGGGAGGTGAAACTTACTTAATGCTTTCAAGTCTGGTGCTGTGTAGGTCATCAGAAAACCCTAAGTTTTGCTGATGGCATCAGACATGAAGTGTTTATAAATTTGATCCTTATGTTTCTTTCAGTGTCCTTATCCACTACAAGAAGTAGAGAATAGAAGATCACCTCACTGTTGTGTTGTTTCTTCCAAGGCTCTACATTTTTTCTTTACCTTCTTTGTCACCATTGATATGTAAGAGCAGCAATGGATAATGATCTGTTGGCTGTACCATTCTAGGTAGTTTCCTTCATGTCAAGCCCAGGGAGGAAGTAGACTGCATTAAGAAAAGAAACCCTGACTGCAGTGGATAGTGCTGCTTTCTATGTAGCTTCTTGTCTAGCCAATCACAGTGATGGCTGAGCCAAAGCGACCTAGAGCAGCTTTCTTCAGAATGGGGCCAAGGAACATTTTTTGGTGACTGGGAATAAGCTCTTGCTAGAGAGGTTGCTGCAAAACTGCTCACTGTATTTGGCTATCTTTGTGAGGGAAGACATTTGGTCATGCTTGAGCTCTCAGGCGTGATGGGTTTTATAGAGCAAGACCAAAGTGTTGGCTGTGATGTAACTGTGCTGCTGTGTGAGGATGACTTGCTTTTATCCTTTGCTCTCTGTCTGTGACACAAAGATGTGACTTAGGAAATATGTTGTAAAAGTAGAATCACTAAGTATTTTAACACAACCTTGAAAGTAAACCATTTATGTCATTTTATCCTTGAGGCTACAATTTAAGCTCCTATTGATTGCAGTGTGTGTGAAATTGGACTCTGACCTGGTGTTTCATATTACTTATTTCAAACAAAGTTTTAGGCTCAAGCATAATAAACACAAAAAGACAATTCACTTTAGTGGATAACGTTGCTAAAAATGAATTTGCGTATCTTTTGTTTTAATTGGTAATGAAGAACTTGTTAAAGAAACGTGGTAATTTGATTCTCTGATTTCTCAGGTGCTTATTGTATTAGGTAACAGGCTAAGAGGAATCTTTCTTTCATGGCGCAGATCTGTTAACACTGCTGTATTTATTCAGTTCAGTTTTGTGGGAATTGATAGGATTATAAAAATGTAATATTTGGTTTAAACATTTTAATGACATGTAAAACTGGACCGTACCACTTTCTTGGTTGAGGTGGTGTGGTGGGAAAACAGGAATTAAGAGGATGAATCAGCAGTGTATTAGGAGTACATCTGGGTTTTATTAGGTGTAAACTTCAGGACAGGTGTGCATTTGGGTGGAATGTTTCTCATAGTTCACAACAATTGAGAGTTGTTTTTTTTTTTTCCTCATTGAAATAGCCACCAAGTTTTATTGCTTTCATAGTATGCTGCTTTGAATTTACTTTGAATTATGTGTCTGTAGATATGTGATCTTCTAGATTGAACAAATTAGGTATGCTGGAGAAATGCAAAATGAAAATGAAATTTTTGTGTGTGGAAAGAGGATATTTAGCATGGGAAGGAATGTTAAAAAACCAGAAAGTTGCTGGGTACCCTAAGTTGTTAGTTTCCTTTGTTGTTTATTATTACAATTAATTTAGAGGGTTTTTTTAACCTGCTACTAGTGTATTGTTAAAGAAAATGCTTTCTCCTTGTTTTGTTACTTCTAAAGCTAGCCTTAATGACACCTATAATAGTGGGGGTTTTTTGTTTTTTTTTTTTTTGTTTTTTATTTTAAACTGTTCTGCATTGATTGCAAAAGACAAAGAACCCATTGAACGAATTATTTCTATTTATAGTGCCATAATTGGTCATACAAGTTTTCTTCAAGAAAGTAAATATTTCTTTGATTGGGATACTAGTTATTGTATAATACATGGAAGTATTGCACAGTAGTATATCTGAAGAAAAAGCTACTTGAAAAGGATGTTTTAAGATACAGCGGATATATCTGTATTATTTTTTCCATTTTTGCTGGGGAGCCTGAGCATACCCTGTTCCTGTTGTGTGAAAAGTCTGGGTATGTGACAAAGGGTTGTTATCAAAATAGCTGTGTTCTCTTAACAGCGTCCACCTTATTTGCTTCTCACTTCACAACTGACTGTAAATAAAAAGCTTTAAATCAGCGGCTCTGCAAAGTATGCAGTAGAGACAACTCCTTCTCTGTTAATTGCATGGAAACATTTCTCCATTTCTAACTTAGTACTTACTTTACTCCTTTTTCTTCTCTTTCATTTTCTGGGGAGGGAGGTGGGCACAAGGGTGTGGATTAGGGAAGTATTTACTGGGTCTTATTGAGGAAAAACATTGCTGTGTCTTTGGCAAGGTGGAAGAGACTCCTCTGCAGCTATCTCTATGGAGACTAATCTGATCTTACCCTTACTTGCATTGCTTAGGGAGCCAGGACTCCATGTGAAAAAATTTCCTTAAAAAACAGTTATAATTGTCTGAAATGAATTATTGATTTCAACTACTTAAAATTGAGTCTAAAAGAAAACAATTTGGTTCATGAAATGCTGTTTCTTTGCCTTGCTAACACTGCAGTATAAATAAGTTAACTGCCTTTGTGATGGAAGGGAAAAGTTGGAATATTCACAGTTATCTAGTTTTGTGGTTTTTTTTTTTTTTTTTTTGTTTTTTTTTTTTTTTTTTTTTTTTTTTTTTTTTTTCAGTGTGCCAGGAATTCTGACACGGTTTTAAGCCTTGCTTGACTTTACGGTATTCCTAGGGTGCTTTCGTCTGCTCTCAGCAGTGAGCTTTTAGAGTTCTGGACAGGTTTAAACCATCTTTTCAAAAGCCAATTACATCTCAAACAAGTTTGCCGATCTTCCAGCTCATTTTGTTCTTGTAGATAAGAGGAAATCTTCATTTAGCCTCTTCAGATGTACATACAAAAATGCAGAATTTGTTGTCGCTATGGAAAATGCTCTGGTTCAGCGCCACTGAATCAACCTTACCATACCTTTGTCACCTTATTTTATTGCCTTTTTTAATTTTTTGATACCGAGTATCCAAAACTGGATGTGGTATTTCAGATGTGTATTTCAGGTGGGTTGGGTGAGGGGGAATTATAGCTTATTAACAAGAGCTTAGCCCACAGATATGCCCAACCTTCTGTGCTGCCATCCAGGGCTAGTTCCAGATCGTATTTAGCCCAACTCCATTTTAGCAGAGCCATCTGACAAGTCTTTAAAGGAATTAGTCCAACTTTGTTAGAGGACTAGCTACCGAGTTCCATGAAATAGTTAGGGAGTGATGGAAGGGATTTAGAGGTGTGCTTCCTAAATTTCTAGGGTTTAACATGCCATATAGCTTAGGTTTTTATTCCGCTGTATATAAAAATTATTTTAAATTTATTTTCAAATCTTGGCCTACAAAGATTGGTAAAATAGAGGAAGAGAAAAGATGCGATGTTGAACATGCTTAGTGGTTTATGTGTAACTTCTTCACATGTGCTTGTTTTCCTTAGTTCCCTGGTGATTTGGAGTAAAGATCAGAATGCTGCATTTCTGGCAAAGCAGAAGTGTTCTGGTAGTGAAATGTTACTCTTGTGCTTTTAGTCTCTTGTGAGCAGAGTTGTGCCATTCCAACCACCAGAAACTAATAATAAATATTGTTTTAATATTTTTGGCTCTGTACCTTTCTTACATTTTGCATCAATTATTTTTCTAGGTATTGCCAGGCTTCTGAAGTGGTTAACCAAAGCTAAGAACATAGGACACTGGTGAGTAAACGAAATTCAGATGGTGTTATCTGGTATTTCCACATGCTGTCTGACTCTATGACTGACTACTGTATGAGGGCAAGAGGATGCAGCAGCTCTATTCAGAGTAGTTGATTATTTTTTTTAAGCAGCAATTTTAAGAAAGTGAGTAAAAAATAGTGTTGATGACTGTTTTTGGTAGGTGAAACCTACTCCCTACCACCAACTTGAATTATAAGCAATGAACTTGAATTATTCAAACTATTTAAAGACGTTTAACATATGCATGTTGAAGCAGTAACATACACTGTGACCTGCTGCATTAAATGAGTGATGCCTCATGTGTGAATACAGACTTCTCAGAAGGATGACAGTGCATATCTTAAGCTATATGAAGTTACATTTCGTTCCACAATACATGGAAGCCTAAAGGTAAGTTAATAAATGTCTGCAGGATGATTTCTTTCTTTCTTTCAATGCCCAGCATTATGTCTGTGCTTCTTAATTCCCCCTCTGAAAATTCTAGCGTCTTTTGTAAAGACAGACATGTTCATTCTTTGTATCCTGTGCGCCAGCTATGTACCTATGATGACTCAAGAGAGGAACATGGATAAGGGTCTAAGGTAGAACTTTAAAAATGTGAGGTACTTTTTCAGTGAATTTTCTTTATTAATGTGCTTATAGATATATTGTTTGTACTTCTCTGGCTGTAGAGGTAGGTTGGCAAAGAGAGCCTTATAAATGCAGTGATAAACACATCAACTGTTACTCTTTGATGATAAAAAATGATCTTTCAGAAAGCAACTGTGTTTTTTTGCCAAGTTATTTGGAATAATGCAGTCTTCCTACTCCTCTGATTTCCATAGCTGAACCATGATATGTGAAGGACTTTTATTTTTTGGAATCTTGTTTGATTCCAGAGCTGCTGGTAGCAGCATCCATAGATTTGATTGTGCATTCTGTTTACTGGTGTCCTAGAACAGGTAAAATACCATACATTGAGATACTCTTGCACATAGAATGAATTGGTAGTTCCTGTGCACTTTGCATCTTAGCAACATAACAAAAACACTGGTGTATTCATAAAGAACATGAAGATATCTTGAAGACCTTGGACAACTGTTGGTATCATTAGGTGGGAAGTCTATGTAGAAGCTTATGCACACTTTTAATAAGTTTAAGTCTGTGCAGATATAGTATGTAAAAAGAAAGCCTAGTTGCTTTAATTTATTACTTTTGTCAGTAAATATATGCATAATGTGGCTTATCTTCACATGTTCTACTGAGCAGAGGGTTCAATGTCTGAATATTTCTTATAGGCTTCTTATAAGTTGTGTGGGGAACAAGTGAAAATAAGCAAACACCTACTTTCATGAAAAAATTCACTTCAGTTTCAATAAAATAATAAAATTGTAACTGGACTACATTATGTTATATGTAAAGATTATTGTGAAAACTACATAGTTTGACCAGCCAGTGGTTCCTCACAAAGCTGTATTACTTACTTGACTACTTGATTCTCCTAAACAGTTGGCTTAGTAGGATGAGGGTTTTTTCTGGCCTTGGAAACAAGTGGGAGAAACCATAATGAAAGGGTGCAAGTAGAATGTCTTTCTGAAGATCTTTCCTTGTGTGCTGATAGCCCTCAAAGAAAAGAAAGCCATGGTTTGTTCGTAGTGTTCCAGCTGTCATCTCACGTACGTTTTCACTTTCATCTGCCTCATGACAGTATTTTCACAACTTTAGGAATTGTATTTTCAGTTTCTGATGAAGCCTTGTCGTATCTTAGGCCTGAAATAGATAGTTAACAGTTTTGATGTAAATGGAAGATCACTCTATGTCAGTCCTACGTAGGTCTAAATAGAATACAGATGGGGACAGGGAATTGAATTTGAGAATTTTAAATCTTGTATGTATATTGATACACTTACGTACTATGTACATCACAATACAGAAACAGGTTTGATTTTTAGTTTTCTCTCTAGAAGCAAAAAGTGGAGCGGTAGTCAGCCTTGCTGATTTTAGTTTTGTTTTGTCATGAGCCACAGTAAATAGGAAGTTATAAGTTTGTATTGCTTTTCCTATATAAGCAACGTCTTCTCTGTGAGTATGGTTTGCCCATTTTTTTTCTTTTCCATATTATTTTTCTCTGTATGCTTCTTTTTGTGAGAACTTTAAGGTGATATTAAAATTCAGTCCTAAAACAGTGTTCCACCTCCAGTGACAGAAGCAGAAATATCAAACGACACTTTGTCACTTTATTTCCTTTTGTTTGTCAGCAGAAGGGAGAGAGGATGAGTTTCTAAATCGGGAAAATATGAAGGTTTGGAGTTCTTTCTTTGGGAGAGCACTGGGTTTACTTGTGGATGCTATGAAACAGGCTGAACTGACAATTTGCTTCTGGAGCAACAAATAGAGTGGCAATTTTAATTTTGTTATTTCTGGAACTTAATGCACTTCTTGATATGGAAGGAAATACCATGAAGCATGCAGTGAGTAAGCAGCAATTGCAGCTGCAGGAAAAGCATGACATAGTGGAGAGAGATGCCTTTCATGACTTGGTTCTACTTCCACCTGGTAAGTGATGTTAGGGAAGTTAATTCTTTCTTACGCTTCTTGTCTTTCTAGGCTGCAAGGCTCTTGCTCCAGACACTGCAGTTCAGTGTGTCTCACAGTGCTTTAGTGTCTCTCCATTTCTTCAGTTGCTGTTGCAGCACTTGCAGAGTTTCCCTTGTGCTGTGATGTTAACTCTCAGGGGTTTGATGTGAAACATGGAATCCTGAATACAGTTGACTATTAACTATGTCAGAATTGGGCTAGTAATACTGTTCAGAGCATGGTTTAGTGTTGCATCTGGTCTTAGACAACTGCAGGCTGATGGCCGATGCCAGGAGGGGCAGTACTACTTAAGCCTGTTCCTTCCCCACTCTTGCATCTGTCCTTGCATCAAGCTCCAGCTCTGAGGTGTGTTCAAGGTAAGCAACAAATGCAGTTTTAAAAAAAAAAAAAAAAGCAGGAAATGACATCAGACAACAGTGCTGGGCTGATTTGTCCCGTGGCTGTAAAACTGCTAGATGTACCACAGAGGACAAAGAGGGAATAAGCAGCTGGAGGTAGGTGGGGAGAGGGGTTCTGTTTCTTTCAGCAGCAAGTAATAAATACACCAAATGAGACATAGCGTGGAAACGTATGCTTTTTAAGAGCTGCATTTTACAATCAGATTTTGAATGTTCCAGAACAATGGCTTATAAAAGACATGATATTCCAATTTACTTTCTGCTGGATTTAGTTGCTATGTTACATAGTCTTCATTGGAAGTACTTTTTCTCTAATATTGCTTTTTAATTGGCTTCTCTGAAATAGCAGTCATCTTTGTGATCCACACTGCATTTTCAAGGCATATTTCTGATGCCTAAATATAGTTTCTATTTTACTTAATTTTCTTTTAAATTGAAGTCCACTTAATCTTGCAAATTGAGCTGGCAGAAGTTGCTCTCGATGTGATGTATTCTGGAGACACTGTGCTCATGATTTCCCCTTTAAACTCTGTCAAGCAACTTCATTCTTCTTTGAAAATGACTTCTGTAATTGAAGTTGACTCTTCGAAGGACATTTTTCACCCACTGCCCTTTCTCTTAAAAATGTATGCACTAGATTAGATTGGTTTCTTTGAAGTTATTTTCTTTGTGAACCTTGTGTAATAAGATATTGTGTTGAAGGACCTGTCTTTTCTGCCTGCTTAAGCCAACTCTGTGAAATAAAAAGAGGTGGGGGAGAAAGAGGAAGAGAAATCTTCAGATGACTTTGGAAGCTGTAACATTTAACTCTAATCAGGGAGCTTTAACCCATAGCCCACACATGGCAGCAAGAATATGAATATATCCTGACAATTGCATTCACAGCTGAGGTCACTTAGTGAATTCAGCAAAGGCAGAGGAGCAGGTCAGCAGGTGGAAAGGCAAGTACAGCCCTGAGAGCACTGCAGCTAGGCAGAGACTCAGCTCCCAAGTATGGCTGGACTGGCCAATGATGTTACTGAGACATTCACATCTGTTATTTCTTACTGCCTGCTTTTCTGGCAACAGCCTGTCTTCATTTTTTCCGTTACAGGCAGCTGCTAGAACTAAAAAGATCTTTAGGTCATTTTCAGATGTACTAGATAGTCTGTTTTTGTTTTTATCTTTCTGATCACCCTCTTCTTTCTGTGATGTAGTACAACACACTGACTTATTTCAAAAGCATATGATCTGTGTGTTGTACTCTGTAGATGTGTGGGAAGATAAGCAAATGTGTTAGCCTGTATGTGCAAATCATTTCTAAGGAGCAAGGCCATTGTAAAATCTGAAGTAACTTATAAGACTAAACTGCCAGGGAAAGAATTAGAAGAAATCCATATAACTTGAGTAAGACTAATTTTGAGGAATCACTTTTGTTTTCATCGAACTTTTTTCCACAGTGGATGTGATTTGGCTTTCCTTGTGTAGAAAGCAGAGCAGTGCAGATCGCATCAATAGTGCTAATTGCTTTATGACCAAGGGGAACCAAATTCGTGAAAGAAGCAATTCCTTTTTCATATCTTGATTCTGTTTTAACCTTTTTCTCTCTCCCATGGAGGGCTTGTTTTTTCTTGTCCTTATGGCCTCTCTAGCTTTAACTACTAGAGTTGTTAGACCATAGGTGAATATCTTTTTGTGATACATACCTCTTGAAAAACTTGAGGATGTCAATGAAGGAGGTCTTTAAAATTGTGATCTTATTGTTCTACAGTACTACACTGGTATTCTCATGGGATATTTTGAACAAAATAAACAGTCTTGATTTGAATATTTCTGTAATCAAATTTTGAGATGGACCAACAGTTTTTTTGTTTGTTTGTTTTTGTAGTTTTCACACACAAACTAAAAACAAATCACATATTTTTAAACACAAAAGTATAATAGTGTTGTCTATCCTGTAGAAGGCTGTAAAAATTTGCAATTGTCCTCAGCTGGATCACTTTTAAGACCATGTCCTAGACAAAT